CATACCTGGGCATACCGATTCACCATTGCAAGCTCTCTAACAAAGAATGGAAGTGCATTGAAGATCGATTTGAAAAGAAACTAAGTTGCTGGAAGGGCAAGCTCATGCCATATGGAGGCTGACTAATTCTCATTAATTCGGTGCTCACGAGTATGCCAATGTTTCTACTGTCCTTCTTTGAGATCCCAGTAGGGGTACGGAAAAGATTGGACTTCTATCGATCGTGTTTCTTTTGGCAGAGTGATGAGTTAAAACGAAAATACCGACTCGCTAAATGGGATGTCATTTGTAGGCCAAAAGACCAAGGTGGTCTTGGAATTGAAAATCTAGAGGTGAAGAATAGATGTTTACTCATCAAGTGGTTGTATAAGTTCTCTATAGAGACCCATGCCACATGGCCCAGATTCTGTGTAATAAGTACCTTAACACTAAGACCTTAGCACAGGTGAAGGTCAGACCAACTGATTCGCCTTTTTTGAAAAGGACTACTAAGAGTGAAATTATCCTTTTTCAATAGGACAAAGTTTATCGTTGGTAATGGTAATTCCACGAGATTCTGGGAGGGTACATGGCTAGGGAAGACGCCTCTCGCTATCCAATATCCTTTCTCTCTATAATATTGTTCAGCGTAGAGATGCATATGTTGCAATCAAACCCTCTAAACATTCAATTCAGAAGGACGCTAGCGGGAAACCGTTGGGAAGTGTGGATCCATCTTGTAAGAAGATTGATGGATGCCCACCTTTCTCAACAGTCGAATCAGGTACATTGGAAACTAATCAAGAATGGAGTGTTTTCAGTGAAATCCATGTATTTGGATTTAATCAATTCGGTTTCCCTCCCTCGATCTTTGCATATTTGGAAGGTCAAAGTGCCCTTACAGATTAATGTGTTTATGTGGTTTGTCCACAAACAAGTAATCCTCACTAAGGACAACTTGGCAAAACGCAACTGGACCGGATCTCGAAGACGTAGCTTCTGTGATCTATCAAACACCTCTTTCTTGATTGCCCGATGGCTAAAGTTTTATGGTGGTCTATCCATATAGCGTTTAACATTTCTCCTCCTACTAGTATCAACACGTTGTTTGGGACGTGGCTAAATGGAGTTGAGATAGAAACAACGAGACACATCCGTGTAGGCGTATGTGCTTTATTATGGGCTATATGGAACTGCATGAATGATATGGTTTTTAACAGAACAACAAACGTTGATTTCTTGCAGGTTATCTTTTGGGCCACTACGTTGATCCGTATGTGGTCACTACTCAATCCGGTGGATGTCAAGGAGCGTATGGTTACTGGGTCTATCCGTTGGGAGACGGTAGCACGAGCTATCTTCAACCGGTTTGGATGGCGGTCATGTAATAGGATAGGCGTTTAGTCTCCTATCTTCTTTTATACTGCCGGTTGTGGCTATCCCGCTTTCTTTATTTTCAGCTTGTTATGAACATTTTTTTTGTGTGAGACTTGAAGACTTTGTTAAACTATTTGCTTATTAATAATATGGTCGTATGCATCATTTTGATGCAAAGGCCGGGGGATGACCTCCTTTTCTAAAAAAATATCTTTGTCTAATGGATGTTCTTGGTCTGTAGTTCATCTCTTCCTCTCTTCTATGAATTGGCAGATGCCTTCAGCTCTTCGCTACTCGGCGGCTATGACTCCATATCAGAACTCGCCAGCCCTCACGATCCCTAAAATCAATGGCAAGGAGCTGCGATGAACCCTACCAATATTCTTCAGATTTTCTGGAGTGTTCTAGAATCGTGATCATATACAATTTGAGAAGGTGAGAGATCCCGTAATTGTTTTTTTTTCTGAAGAACATTTGTTTAGAATTTCCGCCTTGGGATTTGGACACGGAAAAAAGTGCATAATTTAAACCATGTTGAGATATTGCAGGTCATCCAAAAGACATCGCAATACAATGGGAGACCCGACACATGGCTGACATGGGTATCATACTTTGCATTTGTTTGAGGGCATGTCCATCTCGATCTCTTTTGCATTCAACAATAAAAGAATAAAAATACATTGGCATTCAACAATCTATAGGGTCATCAATTTATTTGATGTAAGCTTGTTTATTCTAAGATTTTTACATTATTTCATAAGTCACCGGGCTAGGTAATCCTAGGCTATGATGATATTTTTCCATTAACATTAATGTGTCAGTTGATGTGAATAAAATTATTCACTTTGGAGTAATTTGGGAAAAGTACATAAACAACATGTACTTTTATTGTGACCGCACAATCTGCATCCAAAAACTATTGCACCAAGTTTAATTTCTGTATCCAACAAAAAGTAGTACAATAACATATACCTTTAATAAAAATTTCACTTAAACAACTAATAACTTCTGACTAACCCTGTTGTCATCTTCTCATATGTAAAAGTACACATATTTTTCTCATCAGAATTTATGCAATTGAATAACAATCGTGTTAACTACTTTGTTAGACAATGTTGTCAAAACATGCTATTTTGGGGTTTTCTCAAGTTGGCATATTTATGGTATCCCCATGATGTTTGAGCGTGACTTTACTCCATAACTAAGTCCATATATTTCATAACTATGTTCATATATTTTTAGTCATTTCACGTTTGTTGTTGTTCCGGGGAGTTGACAAATGGAAGACCTTCTCGATTGTACTGCCGTGCATAGTAAATAGACGGGACCATAATGAATGATGAAGTTGAAATAGAATAGGGATGTTTGTACGCTCGCTTTCGAATGTGCCCACTGTTTAATGCTTTCATCTTCTTGCCTCCTCTCACATTTTAAAATATTGTCTCTTTAAGTAGTTTGGCATGTTAATGTATTGCAACATTATTCATATTTTTTGCTATCTACCGGAAAGAAAATCACAAACAAATTCCCGCGGCAACACGCGGGGTATCATCTAGTATTAAAATAATTCAGGATTCGAAAAGGTTTGAGTTTTTTTGAATGTGAATTGTGAATTGTCAAAAACATTTCTTGAATTCAAAAATGTTTGTGACTTCAAAAGAATGAACATTTTTTAATTTTCGTGAACAATTTTTTATGAGCATTTTTTTAATAATGATGAACATTTTTTGTATTTAATGATTTTTTATTTCAATGCAAATTTTTCGAAATTGATTTGTATTCAAGAACATTGTTTTGATAAATGGATGAACAAATTATGAATTCAATGTTTTTTTTGAATTTTATGTACATTTTTTAAAATGATGAACACATTACGAATTTGAGGAACAAATTTTGAATTCTAATGAACAATTTTTAAATCCGATGGACAAAGAATTGATTTCAATGAACATTTTTTGAACTGCTGAATATTTGTTTACATCTATGTTTTTTTTGGATTTGATAAACATAGAGATGTTCAGATTTGAAAAATTAAAATTTGCAAAAAAGATGTGGAAGTGACGAAGAAAAAAATAGAAATGAAAAAAAAGAAAATTAAAACATTTAGAAAAAGAAAAAAGAAATAGAAGCAAATGGAGGAGACATAGGCGTTGCATTGTGCCATGCATGGTCCTAGGCTTACTTATAAACTTGCATGGTCAGAGGGACAGTGGTATCCTGACCCATCAGGTTCAACTTCTGATACTCGTATTATTTCTAAATTTATTTTAAAATTTGTGACGATGCGCTTTCAGTGAAAAGAGACGTTTCTGTTGACGACGAGGCGTCTACGGTGACTTTGTAAATCTTAAAATGATATGCCGGCTCAGCCTTTCGGAGGTGCTCATATGGGTAAGGTGTGTGTCATAGGGGTGAGTGTATGTGTGTATGTATGAGTGTTTGTGTTTGTACAGATGTTAAAAAAAATTGCATGTTGAAGCGTGGGTTGAGCCGTGCCGACCCAGTGGCCAGGTTTGGCTGCAACCCCTCTGGGAAAAAACTTGGGCGAGCACCGACAGTTCCGCCGCGAATCTCAAAGCGCCACGGCGGCTTCTCGAGGTGAGCTCCCTCGTCATCACCGTTCCGTTCGCCCGTGTTAGGTGTTCTCCGGTTCTTCCCCGAGCTAAGCTCGACCTCCCACTCCCGTCCATTCCTAACACGCACCGGAAATCTGCTCCGGTCCGCAGCGCATGTACGACGCCGGCAATACAGCCACCGGCTCCCCTCTCTTCCCTCTTATCTGCCGCCCGAATATCCTCGGTGCCATCGGACGCGCTTTTCTTTTGTTGCCTTTACCCAAATCTCACCTTGTTCCTGGATTGGATTTCTGCTTGCTTTCTTGATCAATTGAAATCTGTAATCCGCAGCTGGGGCATTCAGCGGAGAGAGCGCTCCTGGACTGGGGAGGCGAGGTCGCGGATAAGCACCAATTTGGGCGTCGGCGCTTCAAGGGTCCTCACGATATATTGGTGAGCAGTTTGGCATTCTTTTTTTTTTACTTGTTAATTTATATATCTCACTTCATCCCTGATAGGATCATTTACCATTGTTATAGGAGTTCTGTGGGGTGTAACGGTAAGAAAGAATCCGTTGTTACCGTTGTGATTTCTTGATTTGTGGATAGCTTATTAGATCCATAATTCCGTTTCTATCTTGAGTCATGAGCCTGACACCGAATTGGAAAGCTTGAATTCATATCGATGTATTTCTTGTGACACCCGAAAATATGGTGTGCAGATGGTGGTTCCGTGATGCAAAATCTATCTCTTCCCACAAACACCTGGGAATGTTGTCTTGCTTGTTTTTGCCAACTTGCTATTGTTCTCGATTATGTATGAGTTATCGGAATTATGACATGCCATCAGTTCAAGAGTTAACTGGTAAACATGCATTTACTCTTTCGAAAGCATGCTGAATTCTTCTGTTGGTCTTTAATATGCGACCTTCACCATTATAATTATCAAACACACCAGAAGTTTACAATCCGAAATGTCATCACTAAAGCTCGGTCTCTGCACCACGATATGCGGCACTGTTGAATGTTTTATCTTTTCTTAGTGAAGCTGTGCTTTTATTTTACCAGAACTGCCTTTTGTGTTACAGAGATGGCTGGAAAAGGAAGCTATGTTCCGCCGCAGTATGTTCCGTTATATGGTCTAGACACTGAGGAGGATAGTGTTCCTGAGGTGGAGGAGAACATTGCCACGCGCCAAGGATTAAGCCGGGATCCTACACAATGGTCTTCAGGCATTTGTGCTTGTTTTGATGATCCACAGAGCTGTATGCTACTTTCTGACCTGTGACTCCTTGATTTACAGAAGGAAAGATAAAAGGTGCTTTTGGTTGCATGATAGGTTAAAAAGTAAATCTTCAAACTGTACCTAGTAGCCTATTTAATATCTTCATTTTTCTGTTAATAGGTTTATCGCGCTGTGGTGGTTAGTTTGATGTTCCCTTAGTTTTAGTACATACATAGTGCATAAGGAAGTAGGAACAAGTGCATAATATAGAGAGAAATTGTTCATAGTTATGACTTATGAGAAAAACTTCTTGCCTTTGTGAATTTCAGTAGTTGGTGGTGCTCTGAGTTATATGTAGTTCTTGTACCCGCAAAAAATAATAATATGTAGTTATTTTAGAGACGTGGAGTACCTCTATATTTCTTGGCTATTTCCACTGGGGTAATCTGGTCGAATGCTTAGCTACATCTCTAGGATATAAATAACAATGAACTAATTGATATTCAAGTTCAAACAAGATGAGAGTAATGTGTGAATGTTCCAATACATCTTTTTAGATGAAGATAACATCTTTATCTGTGGTAGTAAAATATAAACATAAGAGTAGCAAAATCAACTGTCTTGTTCAGTGTTCTAGGTGCTAAAATTACTCGTGCCATCTCACTGGAGCCAAACTTGTATAATGATGAGACAAACTGAGATCCTTAAGATAAACAGAGAATCTGTGATAATGTGCCAATTTATCGAGAAGTTATCAATAGCTTCCTGCTGCCTTCTCGTATATGGACTTTGGTTACTGCCAGAGGATTGGAAACAAAATCAGAATCACTTCTTGTGGTTACAAATGCAGTTAGCTACCATTTGCTTGTTGGTATGGAGCTGAATTGGAGGGAAATATGAATTTAAATTTCAATAAAAATGTAAGATCAGATCGATGCTATTCGTAACCTGTTTCAGTAGCACAGGTTAATATTTAATCTTATCCTGTTTGTTGCTCTTTCTCTGGCCTTTCTGGATGTCGTCTGATATCACAGTAACAAGGTGCTTAGTATACGACTGACTTCTCATGGCTTATGTAGTAAAACAATATCAAAACTTCATTTGTTGGTACTATTTCAAGGGCATGTTTAAGGAGAATGTTTAAGACACATTAAGCCTGCAATGCTGAGTTGGTCCTACGTCCATTAACCACCTCTTAATTCTGCTTCCTAATACTTTAATTTTGTGTGGACTATTGTAGCATTGCTTGGATTGACAAAGTCATGATAAGCTTAGAAATAGTATGAATCCAGTTTTGGAGTGTTATCAGGACATGCATAAAAATACCCTTTAATCGCAGGAAAGGAAAACTGTTCTTATGCCCTGGATTGTTCTGATCATATTTGTAGGTTGTATTGGTGCGACTTGCCCCTGCTTTCTCTTTGGAAAAAATGCACAGTTCTTGGGATCTGGAACTCTCGCTGGATCATGCACTACGCATTGCATGCTTTGGGGCCTTCTGACAAGTTTCTGCTGTCTGTGTACTGGGGGGCTTGTATTAGCAGTTCCAGGGTCTGCTGTTGCTTGTTATGCTTGTGGATACCGCCAAGCACTAAGAACAAAGTACAACCTTCCGGTGCGTAGTTTGAACTTGTGCCAGTCTGTTGTTATCCTCTATTGTTCTTTTTTCTCCTTGCCCGCTGACATGTTATTAATCCTTTGACTCATCATACGCAATTGCCTTATCTTGCATTCGTGTAGTGATTTGTTTTAGGCTATATGTCCCTTCCCTTGACCAAAGTTGTTTATCACAGATGTTCTTACTTTGCAGGAAGCACCATGCGGCGATTTGACGACACACTTATTCTGCCATCTGTGTGCGATATGCCAAGAGTACAGGGAGATCCGCGAGAGAACAGACAGTGGCACCTCTTCAGCTCCTGATGTTACCCCACCTCCGGTGCAGACAATGGATGAACTTTGATTGAGTACAGTAGATGACGCAAACATATCCTGACTCGCAAATCTTTGGTTGGCTTGGCATGCCCTTGCCTGCAAGGGTTTGTGTTATCGCGCACTGCTCCCACAGCTACGATGTCAGACTTTATACAGCTGGTGTAAAGATAACCTGTAAACTAATGGACAGCGTGAAAAGGTGTAACCAGTTGTTGCACAATTGCAGCTTGTAACATTTTTTTCTTCATATATATAGAATTGAAACGAAAACAAAACGTTCTCCTGCACATGGAGTTTCCACTTTGGGTGCCTATACACCCGGATGAACAGTAAAGATCCAAAATATTGTTTACAACACACATGTATGAATGTTCTACTTCCTGCAAAAATTCGTGAAGAAATAACATTTGATGTGCTTAGGACAATAAAATAATCAAAATCATACTCTAAAATGGTCATTTTGAAAGCATTTTAAGCTGCATGTTTAGTGTTTTTACTCAAAGAGTCATGAACGATATCTTGATGAAAATTTATATGTAGGGAAAAAACTCAAGGATGTTTGCCACAAAAAAACACCTGGAATTGTTTGTTGTTGTTTTTCTATATTTACTGTTCACCCTTTTTTGAAGGGAAAAGAAAATATATTTACTGTTCACCTTGGGAGCATAATGCTACTTTTGATGTTGTCTTTCGTAGTGTTCTCCTTTTATGTGAAGTAGATGACCCGTTGCGCCAATTAGCGCAGAGACAACTCCAACCTGCAAGCTAAGAGAACTATATGAAACTTAATAGCCAAGTCAAGTGAACTATTTGAATGGATCAAGAAGAAAAGCAACTAATACAACCAAAATTTTAGGTTTACTTGTTTGATGGGTATTCGCATTTGCATTGCCCATGCATGTCTCTATAGTGCGGAGGGGAGTGCGCGGTTGCGGATCCAGTTTTTTCCGGATCGAGTTGACCACCTCCTTGAGCTAGTGAATACTTACATGGCATTTACGTGATTGAGTGGGAGCGAAACAACATTGTTTTTCCTTTGAACATAAAGAAAAGTTTTCTTGGATGATTAATGAATAGTTTTTAGCGCCATTATGTTTTAACATATAACAATAATATACAGTTTTTAATTCCTTTATAAGAAACTAGTAAACATGTCTGTGCGTTGCAACTGGAGAAAAAATCACACGCCTAACATGACTCAAGACCCATGCAGGTCCACTCCTCTATTTGAACACCACGCCAGCGCAATCGAATACATAAATCTTTAAACAAACACGTAGAAAATATACGGAGGAAAGAACATATCGAGCCTCTAGTATAATAAGCATGGCTCAAGACTCTTAACCGATTCACATCCTTTATTTCAACATGGCACCCAACTCCGTTGTCACTTATCTTCTTTCCCCTTTTGCAGACGGTACAGCGGCCACCTGATCACAACACGCTTAAGTATTCTCAATCCTGTGGTGATGAGCGCGCCACATCATTGACATTGTTCTACGTAAGGGAATGTTCAAAACTTCTACAACTAATCTCCCCGTGTATGTTTATCCCTTGACCTGGTCCATGCACCTCCCCTCATACTTGTTCTTGCTTTTGCACAACACTTGTGCTTCTCTACCGATCAAACACTTGTTGCCATGAATCATGGTTGGTCGGGTAGAGGAACTTGGTCGTGGCACGTGGCTGGAGATGGAAAGCTCGCCGAGGACGGAGTGAGAGGAGAGGATGTAGAGCCCGGGCAGGACATGGCAAGGTTTGATGCTAGTGTTCCTCATTCTCTTTGTAGGAGAGGACATGTAGTGCCACATTGACGTTGACGCAGAGCGACGTTTGAGGAGGGGGGAGGTGGTTCTCTGAAGGGCATCTGCAAGAGTGGAGTTCATTTAGTACAACCTAAATGACAACTACGATTATATGGTTGGGATGGTGGTGGAAAAATGTCAACGGTGATCGACCACCATGGTGGGCTGTTTCAAAATACAATTTTTCACAAAGCAAAAAAATCAATTTTTTGTGAACACACATACACATGTGTACGACGTATATGAAAATTTTCATAACATTATATTTTCACACATGGCATACACAAAAAAGACAAAATACATATTTCTAAATGGGCCAGCATATTATGATATTGGGCCAAATATTTTTGTACAGCCTACAAATCACAACTCTTTCAAACGAATTTTCACTCCTATGTGACGGGAGCCACTAGTTAATGAGCGCTCCATCGAGAGCCTCTCAACGATCAGCACCACTTGGCACGCTCTCAACCATTTGCCACGTGTCGTGCTCTGTGCGCTCCTCCCGAATTTTATTTTTTTTATTTTTTGCACGCGTTTTCGGCTATTTAAACAGGGTTTTTTTCGGGTTATTCGACGTTTTGGTTTTTCACCGGTCTTCCTTAGCTTTTCGATTTTTTTTGAAATTTCAATTTTGCGCGAAAAACCACGGTTTTTTTCCTTTCGTGAGAGTTACGGTTTTGATTCCTCGGGAGGCACGGTTTTGCTTTCGCGAGAATCACGGCCGTGCCTCTCGGAAACAAAAAAAAACACGGTTTCTATTTTTTCCTTTCGCGAGAGTCACGGTTTTGCTTCCGCGAGAGGCATGATTGTGCTTTCACGAGCGTCACAACCGTGCCTCTCGGAAACGGAAAAAATCACGTTTTTTAATTTTTTTTCCTTTCGCGAGAGTCACGATTTTGCTTTCGCGGGAGTCACGGCCGTGCCTCTCGGAAACGAAAAAAACGCATTTTTTTGTTTTTTTCCTTTCACAAGAGTCATGATACGTTCATTTTGCATCATGATTTTATATCGATATTTATTGCATTATGGACTGTTATTTTACTTTATGTCACAATACTTATGGTTATTCTCTCTTATTTTACAAGGTTTACATAAGAAGGAAGAACACCGGCAGCTGGAATTCTGGGCTGGAAAAGGAGCAAATATTAGAGACCTATTCTGCGCAACTCCAAAAGTCCTGAAACTCCACGGAACATCTTAAAATAAATAAAGAAAAATCCTCGCCAAAGATGAAGGCCTGGGGGCCCACACCCTGCTCACGAGGGTGGGGGCGCGCCCCCCTACCTCGTGGGCCCCCTGGTGGCTCTCCGACGTCCATCTTCTCCTATATGAAGTCTTTCGATGAGAAAAAAAGAAAGAACTTTTCGGGACGAGACTCCGCCGCCATGAGGCGGAACCTTGGCGGAACCAATCTAGAGCTCCGGCAGAGCTGTTCTGCCGGGGATACTTCCCTCTGCGAGGGGGAAATCATCACCATCGTCATCACCAATGCTCCTCTCATCGGGAGAGGGCAATCTCCATCAATATCTTCACCAGCACCATCTCATCTCCAAACCCTAGTTCATCTCTTGTATCCAATTCTTGTCTCAAAGTCTGAGATTGGTGCTAGTAGGTTGCTAGTAGTGTTGATTACTCCTTGTAGTTGATGCTAGTTGGTTTATTTGGTGGAAGATCATATGTTCAGATCTTATATGCATATTATTACCCCTCTGATTATGAACATGAATATGCTTTGTGAGTAATTACGTTTGTTCCTAAGGACAAGGGAGAAGTCTTGCTATTAGTAGTCATGTGAATTTGGTATTCGTTTGATATTTTGATAAGATGTATGTTGTCTAGCCTCTAGTGGTGTTATGTGAACGTCGACTACATAACACTTCACCATTATTTGGGCCTAGAGGAAGGCATTGGGAAGTAATAAGTAGATGATGGGTTGCTAGAGTGACAGAAGATTAAAACCTAGTTTATGCGTTGCTTCGTAAGGGGCTGATTTGGATCCACATGTTTCATGCTATGGTTAGGTTTACCTTAATACTTTTGTTGTAGTTGCGGATGCTTGCAATAGAGGTTAATCATAAGTGGGATGCTTGTTCAAGTAAGAACAGCACCCAAGCACCGGTCCACCCACATATCAAATTATCAAAGTATCGAACGCGAATCATATGAACGTGATGAAAACTAGCTTGACGATATTCCCATGTGTCCTTGGGAGCGCTTTTGCTATTATAAGAGTTTGTTCCGGCTTGTCCTTTGCTACAAAAAGGATTGGGCCACCTTGCTGCACTTTATTTACTTTTGTTACTTGTTGCTCGTTACAATTTATCTTATCACAAAACTATCTGTTAGCACTTATTTCAATACTTGCAGAGAATACCTTGCTGAAAACCGCTTATCATTTTCTTCTGCTCCTCGTTGGGTTCGACACTCTTACTTATCAAAAGGACTACGATAGATCCCCTATACTTGTGGGTCATCAAGACTCTTTTCTGGCGCCGCTGCCGGGGAGTGTAGCGCCTTTGGTAGGTGGAATTTGGTAAGGAAAAATCTATATAGTGTGCTGAAATTTACTGTCACTTGTTACTATGGAAAGTAATTCTCTGAGGGGCTTGTTCGGGGTATCTTCACCCCGTCCAGTAGAGCAAAGAGTTGCTCCTCAACCTACTGAACCTATTGAAAATGAAACTCCTTTTGAATTTCCTTCGGGTATGATGGAAAAACTGCTAGCTAACCCTTTTACAGGAGATGTAACAAAGCATCCTGATGAGCACTTAATATATGTGGATGAAGTTTGTGGATTATTTAAGCTTGCAGGTGTACCAGATGATGTTGCTAAGAAGAAGGTCTTCCCTTTATCTTTAAAGGGAGACGCATTGATATGGTATAGGCTATGTCATGATATGAGATCATGGAACTATAAAAGATTGAAATTAGAATTTCATCAAAAGTATTACCCTATGCATCTCGTTCATCGTGATCGCAATTATATATATAATTTCTGGCCTCGCGAAGGAGAAATCATCGCTCAAGCTTGGGGGAGGCTTAAATCAATGTTATATTCATGCCCCAATCATGAGCTCTCGAGAGAAATAATTATGCAAATTTTTTATGCTCGACTTTCTCATAATAATCAAACCATGCTCGATATTTCTTGTGCTGGCTCTTTTATGATGAAGACTATTGAATTCAGATGGAATTTATTGGATAGAATTAAACACAACTC